CACGCCCAGGGTCCCCCGTTTTCTATATACATTTAATAACAATATACCACATAATGAGAGCACGTATTTAATATTAGCGGGGTTGGGGGGTTTAATGGCAAGGGGAAGGGATTAGTTCGCTAAGTAGGGTCCGGAGTGTCCGAAACATGCACTATATCCTCAGAGTCCCGCTATAAACTTAGTAGTCCCAATATGTCCCAATGTACCTATTTTGGCATGTGGCAGGGAGGCACACTATTGAGTGCAAGACATTTGGGATGAACAATCCCCCGAATATCCTCCACACTGAGGGGTTTCAGAACTCCTAATAGTGTGGAGTCATGAACCTAACGCCAGGTTAGGGAAAGGTCCGCGTCTGACCCGAGAAAACTGACCGAGAAGAAGGACATCTCATCGGATCTTTCCTGCAGCCACCAACGCCTATGAGGTACTTCTTTCTTGTGAGAGTCTGAGCAAGCAGCATGAAAAACAGTTCTGAACCTGTGAGTGACTGAAGCAACGTTGCATCCTGCTGGCAGGTAGGGCTGGATATCCCTTTGCTTGGGAGAACCTTAGGCAACCTAAAGCCTACATCGTGAGGCTTGGTCCTGGGGCACCGGAGTTTGGCGGGCAAAGCGATTTCAGTCCTTCTGGAAGACCTCTCCGTGTTCACTGTTTGCTTGTAACCCAGGCTCTGTGGACCGACGAATTACTGTATCTAAGCCCCATAGGTGCCATAGGTGATGAAATTGTTCACCAAGACTTGTTGGCATCAACGGGTTGGAATGGCATGCTCCCCAATCCCCCCTCAACCCTGGACCCTAAACCCAAATCCCTTCCCCCTACTTAAGCACCCACCCTCTACTGTAAAATTTGCTTCTAGCAAAAGAAGGTTACGTAGGATGTATTGGCACCTGCCGAATCGCTTCTTCTTGGAAGCTCCTGGGATTTAGTAACTACTTATAGCTGAGCTTGTATTGTATGTCTTATCCCACGAATAGCCTTTAAAGGGTTACCAAGTACTCGTGGGGCCTCAGAGATTTACCGAAAGTACTCCTGCAAAATCTTTTACCCCGCCATAATCCCGATATGGAGCTGTGATCCCCACATGTCCGAAGGGGCCCAAAAGGGCCCCATTTTGATAAACTCGTTTATAACCCCAGTTAGAAGTACTTCCTGGGTGGATAGAACCTCCAAGCCCTAAGCTATCAACCCTAAAGACCATGCATCCCCACATATCCCTATGCTACCCTCCAAGAATGCAGCCGGTATGTGTCGCGCGGCTTATTGTTTCTTACGCATTTATAAGATCCTTCAGTGAGAGCGTGTCCATTGGGGGAGGTACCTCGGAAGCCCCTGGAGGATTGGGAAGTATTGGGTTGCTCAGCTACATACCTCTTAATCACCCTCCCTTGACAACCTTGTAACAGATGGGGTTCCCAAGACTATTGGTATCGTTTTGGAAACTGTGGGCCCCATTTCGGAGGGACCCATAGTGTAAGGATTACATAGTAGTTTGGTATGTCGGGTCTGGCCTTTGGGTGCCTTGAAAATAAACATGCCCTCCTGCACGCATGACACAGAACTTACGCGTTCTTGGTGTTTAGCGGTTTAGGGTCTAGGGTCTAGGGCCTTCATTAGCCACTAGTCAGCCCGCAGGTTGGGGTCTAGGGTCTATTGTAGGGTCTTCACCAGCTGCTAGACAACCCCCAGCGATATGGTAGTTTCCCTGAATACCGGGATCCTAGCATAGACTCCGGAATACCGCAGTCCTTATTGTGGTCTAATTTTGGGAAAGCCTCCATATTTGTATTTCCCTTTTTCTCTCCCCTCCTTCATTCCTCCTACTGGCAACCGGCAAGACAAGCAAAATGCGGCAGGTCTTTCCTGAGCTGGGCCCCGAGCCTGTTTCTGGCGATCCTCACTGTCACTGAGCCAGGGCATGCGGACTCCAGCAGCCTGCAACTAGACATTGCAGGCGGTTTTGAGTACAGTAAGTCTTCTCATGCCCCCCGCAATTGTTTCAGATGCTTATAAACCTACTTTGCAACCACTGGTATATGTTTGTTCATGATGCAGTGTAAACAGGTCGGGCCAGTTGACCACGTGGCATTCTTAAGCTGGCCCTTCTCCTCATGTCTTGAGGCCGATCCAGTTTCCGATCCGCGACACTCGCTGCTGGGTTACAGTCCACAGAGCAGAGGCCATACTGGCTTCAGAGATTAGTATAGATGTGTGACACTTTAAAATAGGGTTTGCAGCCTTGCTTTTGACATTGTGTAAACCTACTGAATTCTCAGACTCTTGCTCTGTGCCTAGTGCAGTACAATTATGAATACATGAGGATTTTAACGGCTGCCAGCGTTGAATGTCTACCTAAAGCATCCACCCCGCCATCTGTAGAATAGGAAATGGATTGCACAAGGCATCCCAAAGCCGCGTGCTTTCTGCATGGCTCTCCGAGCAGTATTTTGGCTTCTAAGCTGAGCACACCGCACCAGAAGAAAGTAGAGCTTCGGGAGTTTTAGGACATGGTCAATGTCATCCTGAACAGGTACCTGGCGTCTAAGGCACCTGTGGGCGTGGGAGGATTTGGATGCGTTGTTTTAGATGAGGGGTTCCCAAAATTAACAGCCAGCTGTGACCTACAGTCTACAGCGGGGGCAGCACTCCTTTAGAGATCTAATTGGCGAGGCCCAGTTTTCAAGAAGTTTCCCTGTGACTTGAATACCAGGAGAGGCGGCACGGTATGAAGCAGTTTGCTGCACAAACCTGTCTTGTCATAGGTGTCTGGAATATTTCATATTTCACCTGAACAAACCACGCCCGAATGAGGGCTAAATAGGCCCTACACACCTAAACCTTACATCCCCTAAACTTGAAACCCATAACCCCTAAACCCTTAAATCCATCAGTAATTCTTAGACAGACCGGCTCATCCTCCACCTTTTAACGAGCGTTGAACCCAAACCACGCCCTCACAAAGACTCGTACCTGCTTGCAACAAAAGGGTTAAGGATTACTGCCCCCACTCTGCAAAACTGGATAATGGTAACAATATAGCTATACATAGCCCTTAATATGACCTTAATACTTGCAGTAGCACACGCCCTAAACCCCAAATTCTATGGGGACATAGTCTTTCTTTTGCTCTTCAGCTTGAGGTAGGCAAAGCCTGAGTTATGAGCAGGTATTATAACATAGCTCTTTATCACTCATCTCTATGGTGTTGCATATTATGCCTAGTTAGCTTGGGGTATGGCAGCTGGAAGAACGAGAGCGCAGGGTCTTCGAGCAGCAGATTGGAGTCTGTTAGGCAGGTGCCTCAGTTCAGAAGCCATATGAGGAATTGTAATACCGTCCCCCCAAAGGTATTTTCCGGATTTAAGGAAGGTCTAGGGAGGTTCCTCTTGAGAGGGAGTGTAGCAACGCCAGTCCATACCGTGTACGGTACTCGTCTTCCCCTACATGCGATTACTGGTGTGTATCTTGTAGTTCAGAGACCGAACCGAAACCCTAAACCCTAATCATCCTGCTTCATCTTAGGGGTTAAGGGTTTAGGATTTCTTAGGTACCTCTTCGGGGATTATAAAGGGTTGTATGGGGGTATACAGGGATTGGGTCCTAGGGTTTTCTAAAGTAAGGGGTCCCTTAAAGGGGTTTTAGTGTGTGAATTGTTCCCTGGCCATGCGTGGATAGATGGGGTTTCCCTAGATTCATCATAACATTGGTCCCTGTAGTTGGGTGGGTCCGTGTTTGTTCTTGCAAAGGTGTGGCTCGGTCCTGGTGTGGCTCTGGTCCTCTGGTCCCGTGGTGCTCTGGTCCTCTGGTCCTGTGGTCCTCCGGTCCCGTGGTCTGGGATCCGCAGTTCCTTTCAAATGCTTTTATTTGCAGTACCTGAGAATCTACCAGACCCGCCAAGACGCGCTGTAATTTGCAGCATTTGTCACGTTCCAAAACCAACAAGTCTTGTTATTTGCAGCATTTGAGATGTTCTAAGACCAAGTGTTGTAACAGCACGTGAGGCGCTCCAAGACCAGCAAGTCTTGTAATTTGCAGCACCTGCGACGTTCCGAGACCAACAAGTGCTGGTATTTGCAGCGTTTGAGATGTTCCAAAACCAGGAAGTGTTGTAATTTTCAGCACCTGCGACGTTCCGAGACCAACAAGTGCTGGTATTTGCAGCATTTGAGGCGTTCCAAGACCGACAAAGAGCGAGCCACACCTTTGCAAAAAAAGGGCCGAGCCACACCTTTGCAAACAAAAAAACTTCCGCATAATTGGGTTCCTAATCAATGCCGGTCTAAATTTTCCATGTTGGGAACTAATTGTTTTAAGCCACTGGCCGAGGTAATGGCAAGTCAGATCCATATTGCATCGTGCGCGCCTCAGGTTAAGGGATAAGGTTTAGGGCTTAGCATTAACAGGAAGACAGGTAGGTTCTCAAACTTGGGGTGCCCTCGGGGGCCCAAAGACGATACTCCCATGTGCCCTTGGCGGCTTCTCTCTTCCACACTTTAGAGCGGCAGACTTGGCCAAAACAAGCACGGAACCCATAATGAGGATTTCTCACAGCTATGCTTGGATTAGGGTCCATGTAGAGAAGTAGTTGACTCGGAAGTATGTTGAGGGGACCTTACGTGTTGAGAAAAGCTCCAACAATTGCCTTTCCAGATTACATCACAACCCTAAACCCCTTCCAGGTTCCCCATTGCTTCTAGGGAAGTTTCAACTAGTTTCCCTCATGTAAGCCATACATAGCCATGACACACCTCCCAGTCTCCCCATAAAAGCCCTGAATCTGCCTTCTGTAAGAGTGGCCCCCTAGCAACTCGTTAAAGGTCCCTCGCTTGTTTGATGGAGGTTACATGGGGGCTTTCCATAACTAGGGGTGCCGTTTCGGGAGTCCCAAAATAAGGATAAAACTATATTGGGGTCTATATTGGCATCCCCTATTTTGGGAAACTAGAAGAAAGAGTGGGGTCAAGAGTCGGCGAGTCCGAGATGGACCTGCCACAGAATCGGGCCAAAGAGTCTTGGGGAGTTTATGTAGGTCTGAGGGTTTCAGGGTTATTTGGGTTTGGGATGTGAATCAGTATGGGGTTCCTGCCACGTTTGGACGCAGGAGGGTGTACTTGGATTCGAACTCTCAGGGCTCTAGCAATTTCAGAAGATTCAGCTGAGGCAATTAAGCTTCATGCAAATGGGGCTTGAAGGTCCTTGGCATTCTTTGGGCTTTAAAATGGAGGTCTTTACATGGAGAAAGCCTGAACTAGGTTGCTTGAATGAAAGTAACATGTATGTGTGGTATTCGGCGCCAACCAGAAGAGGGCTGTAACTTGGGGTGGCGCCCTAAAAAGGTCAGCAGAAGCTTCATCTAATGCTGTTGCGTTTCGTTGAACCTTTCTCGGGTTCGTCGAACCAGGCTCTCTCCTCGGACAGCAGTAGCCACCACACTTTTGACTCCCCAGTGGTTCAAGTATTTTCGGCTTACCCTTCTTTAGGTTCCTTTAAGGTTTATGATTCCCTCTGCTACCGCTCCCCGAAGTTACCGACCTCTCTCGTTTACCCCTGAAACGTTATGTGGGCTATAGTCTAAACTCCATAATGAGAGCTTTATAGGGGGCTTAGAGGGACTATTTAAGGGTTATACTTATTAAGGTGGATACCCGGAGTTTAGACTCTAGCTTGTATAGATTCCTTCTGATTCCAATGGTAACGTAGTTCAACCCCGTCTGTCTGCCGTCAGGTCAGCATTCCTCACAAAAAGCATTCCACATGGAGAACACGCATCCTGTACAAGGACCTGCGCGCCTTAAAGACGGTTTTGGGTTTCGGGTTTTAAGGCGAACCCCAGATCCCAAACCACAACCTCAATTCCAACGAAATGCCTGTCATCATAGTAGCTTCCCCGAACCCATCATCCCGTTTCTCCCCCGAGGTACTAGACGACGTGCTATGCAGCTAGGTACATATCCATTTCACTCTTGTGCGCACATGTGTTCGTACATGTCCACGCCCATAGAAATGTAGGTATGCAAGGCGCGAGAAGAGGACCACACCTTTTGAAAACAACCTGTATGATTGCCTGGTATATGATGGGTTGTATGGCCTGGACTACAGCCATTGAGAAGTCTCATATTCTGGTGCCTGATGGAGCCTAGTAGGGAGCGAAGGAATGTATCACTATAGTAGTACCTGTAAACCTGAACACTAAATACTAGCTGAGAATGGTCTTTGCAACCCACCCACCACATTGACTGAAAAGCACTAGGGCGTCATTTTTCTTGGGCAGGAGGATTCTATGCAGCCTGGTTATGGTCAAGATTGTTGCCGTACAGCCAAATAAGGGATATGAAAACATACTGCTCAAATAACCCAATACAGAACCTGAAGCCAGGTCAGGTTCAGCATCAGAATCTACTTATGTCAAGCCCAATGCTTTGTTTAGGGCTTCGGGCGTAAAACCCATTCCTCACACAGAAGCGGTTTATATATAGTATCGGACATATGAGTATGTAAAACCCTTTATAATTCCCCTATTGCAGACTGCGACTAGTTGGGGCCAGTACCCGCCCCAGGCCTTGATCAACTTTTTGTGGTCTCTCTACCGCTAGCTCCCTTCTCGACCGTCAGCCCCATAGACGTGATGAACAGACCCATATCAATCGGGAACTTGTCGAAGCAAAATTCCTAGGCGCATATACATTTTGCCCAGCCCAGAAGTCGCGCAGGAGCTCAATCCCAGCTGGGATGAGGAGGACTGGGGACTTGGAACGTTTGCAAGACAGGGTCAGAGCCGATATCTCGAGGGGCCCAGGCACATAAGCTACAGCAACTCTTGCGTGCGCGCCACTTCTCTTCAACGGCATGTTTTGCAATAGCACCTCATCCTAAACCCTAAGCCTAAACGCTATATGACCCAGTATAGTAGTTTTCCATTTTCTTTTCCATTATCCCCATGCAACCCCAATTATGAAAACAGTAATATTACCCCAACGTTTTTGGGGCGCTAGCGGACATTGGAACCCTCACAGCTTTGGCATCCTCCCCGCCTGTCCAGAAGTTTCTCAAGTTATAATAGTGTAGCACTAAATGGTTAGGGCTTTAGGGTTTAGGGTAGTACTAATCGTACTAGTCTTACAAGTTTACTGCGCCATCCTCCTTGTGCGGGATTGGATTCCTTCTTAGAGGGCCTTCTGTGCATGGGTGCCTGTGGGGTCTCCCCTAAGCTCCTGGACGCACTGGTGGTTAGTAGGGATATGTAGGGATTAAGGCAACATATCTTATAGGGGTTATATAGGGATTAGGTTGCCTTATTCCCTACTATAACCCCACTGTATACCCTTATCGTAATATAGTAGTTTCCATGTTCTTTTGCATTATCGCCATATAGCCTCAATATATTCCTTTATTCCTTTATGCCCTGTGACTGTGAAGAACCAGTGAGTTAAGCTTCTCTTTCCCGCAGGAAGAGATGATCAATTATGAGCCGGGCGACAACCTCAAGTTCCAGGTCATGGACTATGACAAAAAAGGCTCTGGCATTCTATAGTCCCCCTTAAATAGATAGAATACGGCTCTGGGTATATTAGAATAAGATCCCCATACACCCAATGTTCTGTCTACTTAAGGGGGACTACAGATCATGGGCTCAGCTTGGGTTCAAGGCTTCATCGGGGTGATTTCAATATTTGGGAAGCCTGTCTTAGGTCACCAAATGCGGGCTTCTGAAAGAATTTACGTGGGAATGTCTTCTCTGAATGGGGTTCTGATGTCGTTAGAACCAACTCCACAGTCTAAACCATCTGCGACGCGGAAAGAAGTACCGGGCCCTTGGCATCAGAGTGCTTCAGTTGCAGGAATTTGCAGGAATGCAGAGATATCAATGACCCCTCCATAGCCTTTGAAGGATGCCCCTGCAATCCTCACAGATTGAATCCCTACATATTACTGGGGCAGCAGGCGTGCCCCTTTGAGAAACGCTCATATGAGGAACCCAACCCCAGCATGCGCTCATATGGCGCAGCCGGCCGCTCTCCTTTAAGTTTGGTTTATACATGGGTATGTTTCAGCATCCAAGGCCTTTTGGACGCTTCATATGAAGGGGCTCATTGTTGTGAAGGGAACATAGAGACCCTGGCTTGCATGTCTAAAGAAAACTTGGTAAGTCAATCACAATCCCTTCGTAGACCCCATACCCCACCTCTAGCTTACTAGTTTGCATGTGCTCCCGACCTCCAGGCCAGGGCTAAGCCTGATCCCTGTAAAGCCTAAACCCATTAGTTTCCATGTTCGCTCTTTCATTCCTCTATTCCTACAAACAAGCGGCAAGACTAACCAGCCTTGGTGCAGATGATGACGACCATCTCGGTCAAGCCCTGCTACAAAGTGGCGACTTCCACCCAGACGGCTTCGAAGGCCTTTCTCCAGCATTGCGCCTAGCCTGTGCCTTTAATACCAGAATAGCCAGAACCAAAGGATGCGCGCCGCCTGAAAATAGTTGGCTGCTTCAAGACAGCCTTTGTATCGCCAGATGACGCAAGCAGGCTATTTTTCTCATGGGCTCCGTACTATATAGCCCTATAACATACTGTAGTATACTATAGTAGTTCCCGTTTCCTTTTGCATTGTCCCCATATAGCCCCAATATACTATAGTACATGGAATTGACAGGGAGGTGAGCAGTCGAGTCTTGCGCAACATGGAAACCAAGCCTACCATGCACATGCATTTGTGCGCCGATGCCAAGCAGACATTTAGCGTACCCATTGGGGTCATAGTGGGACAACGGAATATACAATGGAAACTACTATTTAGGGGTTGGGGTTGAAACGGAGCACAACGTTAGAGTTCAATACAGGGCAGAGGCTATGGGTTCAAGCATGTGATAGTTGCAGCAAGGAGAGGGTCTACGTTGGGACCTCCGCTCTTGGAAACTACTGCCTCTCTGTGCAGGTGAAATCAGCTTGGGTGAAGGCACGCTGTGCAGACCTCGGCCTGGCATTTTCCAGCTTTGCTCAAAGTGAGTAGCATGCAAAGCTGTCACTCAGCCGCCTGATGCCACAACAATCTGCACCAAACACCAAACACAGATTCAGGCATGTACGGGTCGACATCGAGCTGCCTGAGGAGGACGAGGACGTGTACGACCCGGCTCACCATGTAGGCGCGCACCACCACTCGCGGGGTTGTATTCAGTGGATGTTAGTGATGAGCGATCTAGCAGCGAGATGGACAAGGCCAAGGCCAAGGGCATTGGTGTCAGAAGTTGTTTTTCATTTCATTGATGGCAGGTCCACGAGTGCCTCGGCAGCACCTCGCGCATGCAGCAGGGAGTTTTGGTTCTTGCTTCAATGTTCTCTGCCAGTGTCAAAGCCGAAAGCGTGAAGACACAAGCAGTTGCAATGGGCAGCTCATTGACTCGTGGGAACAAAACATGTGGTGCTTGAAACGTTTCCTGAAGCTTGAGGTCCTGAAGAGGACGTCCATAGCTATTGCAACGGACAAAGCGATAGGTGTTGGGTATGTGTTGGGTCTTGTTCTGGTTAAGCATGTCGGAGACCATAGACTTTCAACTTAGGTCCCGCTGGTCTTCAACAACTGAGAATCCTAAAACGCAAATCTTGAATTTTCAGTCCACATTGTGCTCGCGCCCTACCTCGTGACATGCGCTGCACCAAGGAGTTGTGGCTCAAGCTCAAGTCTGTAGTCTTTCCGCACCTCGAGCCATTGTGTCGGCATCCGGTACCCCTCCCTCAACTGCCTGCCTGAGGGGGGGACTGCCCGGCCCTGCCTTCGCCCTTGCTATCGCCATCTGCTCTGGGACTGAGGGCTAACCCAGGATAAATATACCCTCTTGCATCGCGCTCCCTTGCCGGCCTTGCTCTCCACGTCCTTGCCTTTGGGCACGCCGCCCTTCCCTGCCTCCCACATGGCCCCATCACCAGGCCTCTTCCTGTGGTGGGCTCGTTGGAGTGTGCTGGCAGCCGGGCTCAGCCTGCAGGAGCCTGTGCTGTTGCGGTGCCGCGGTTGCCCTGAGCCTCCGGGGCAACCTCTTGCCTCCTTCCCTCTGCCTCGCATGGGTCGCCGGGCCCGCCGCAACCTTACCCAGCACCTTCAGTGCATGTGGGGTTCTCCAACCCTTGACTGGCCTCTCCAGCCAACACTTTATTGCACGCAGCCCGCCAAGCCCCGCTTCCCGTCCCGCCGCCGTCCTAGGCGTCTGTGGGAACAGCAGCGACGCACTTGGGGGCAGGGGCGTGGCCACATATGTCAGCATTGGTCGGGCTGGCCCCGTCGTGGCTGCCGCATTGGCGAGGCCGCTCACCCTGGCCCAGCCGCTCCTGGTACACCCGTTGGTGGTGAAAGGCCTCGCCGCAGGCAACGTAGCCCTTCAATGGAGGTGGATGCCGTGGGCCCTGCCCGTGTCTACTGCCCCGTGCCGGGTTGCCCTTGCAGTGATGCCACCCGCGCACGGGGCTGGGCGGACAACCAGTCCATGCGCCCCCACATTGACTCCCACATGGCCGGCACGTTGCAAGGGGAGGTTCCCGCTGAGTGGCTTCAGGCCCAGCGTCGGCAGCGCTGGCCTCAGTGTTTCATGCCGGCACGGCATCCACCCCACTTGCCGCCCTGCAGCGAGGGCTGCTGCTGCCACCGATGCTCCCCGCACGGGCTCTGTCGACGACTTGCCCACTTTTGACGCAATCCAGGCAGGTGGGGTGCGCA